CTTTATCCTGTGCACCCATGAGCAGAAAGCTCCCTGTTGTGAGTTTCGCTTCGAGATGCTCAGCAACTTGCGCACCTCCAGGACGGGTGATTTCCTCCCCGGCAGGAAGCCTCCCTGACCCCTAATGCAGCTAGCACAGGCCGGCTGTCCAGAGGTGCAGAAGGCCCCCGGGGGATCAGACAGGATGTTGTAAGTGTATTTGCCGAAGCAGAATTCAGCTTGTAAATTGAATTATCCCTGGTGGTTAGGGCACTGGCTTTCCATTTGGAGCCCAGCCTGGACTCTGGCCCTCGGAAGTGGAGGAAGGGTCAGCCAGGGTTCGGACACTGGGGACAGAAGCCAGAAGGGCCGGGTGGACTCGCATACAGGCCCAGGCGGGCGCTGAACTCCTCGATGCCCTACGGGCTGCCCGGTGTCCACAGCTCCTCCACCCTGCACCATGAAAACCCCAGTCCCGGGGGCTTAGGATTTTCCCTCTGGGAGTGGGGCTGGCCAAAAGGACCCCCACCCGGGAGGGCAGTCAAACCCGGGAATCGTGAGTTTAGACAAGGCCGGGTCTCGCTCTCTGGAGGCAGAGGCTTAAATTTAATTCTGGGTCTCAAAAAAGAAGAAGGAAGATGAAGAAGGACAGGAAGGAGGGGGCCCTCTTCTGCCTTTCTTTCTGTCTTGAACATAGAGATGAAGTGGAAGACAGAAGAAAGAAAAAGAAAAGATCAAATTCGGCATCTCTTTATATAGAACTCACTGCCAAACAATAGCAGATGGACGGCAAAGAGAGACGGGAAGGAGGAGGAGAAAAAGCCGGGAGGGAGCAGGAAGTGCCGGAAAGGACTCTCCTCTCCTCAGGGTCCACCCGCTCAGCCAGCTGCAGGAGTTGAAGACGCGGAGGGAGGAGGGGAGCAGGCAGCGAGCGAGCGACAGCGCGGAGAAGGATCAGGCTGGGTCTCTCTGTACCCAGAGCATCGCCAGAGTGGCAGAAGCCAAGGCCTTCCAGGCCGCACTCCGCTCCTGGGCCTTTGATCTTGAGGACTCCCCGGCGGGCGGTGGACGAGCAGGGAGGAGGCAGGGCAGTGACCCCTGCTCTTCTGGCTGTCGCCCGCCCTCGGGTGAGAGCCGCGGGGTCCCGGCAGTGTCTGGTGACTGACAGTCACGCGCAGACCAGGTTCCTTCCTGGCCACCCCCGGCTGGCTTCTGTGTGGTCCGCCTGCTGCAGGATGGGCCTGCTGGCTCCGTAGGTCTGTGCTGTGGCTTTATCGTCGCGCGTAACTCTTAAGCTCTGGTCCTTTCCCTGTTGGATGTTTCCTGAGGGGCAGAGCAGAGCCAGCTCTTCCGCAAACGTCCTGTGCACGAAAGCAGCGGGGGAGCGGGCAGCGCCCCTGGGGCAGCCTGGGAGGGTCTGCAGTGGGGGCCCGCCTGCCTCTCCTCCTCTCCTCCCGGAACCCCCAGGCCGCGCGGGCTGGAGCGTGGCATCGGGTGCTGTCCACCGGGCAGTAGTCCTCGGGGTCAGCCGGGTCCCTGGACCGACTGCAGCCCGACGGGGCTCCGACCGAGCGTCCGAACCGGAGCGTCTTCCTGTTGGGAAGCTGCTAAAGCAGTTTCCAGGGGATTCATACAGGTTGGCATCCCATGTCCAAAGGGCTTGAGACCAGAAAGGTTCTGGGGTTTTCTGATTCTAGATTTTACCAGCTGAGCATCCCTAATCAGAAAATACACAATCTGAAATACTTTGAACGTCATCTTGGAACTCAAAAATCTGTGAATTTCTGACTTTCAGATTAAGGATATCCATCCCATAGTAGTAAATTCCCATATTAGAAAAGTAGAATTGGGCCGGGGATTTAGCTCAGTGGTTCCACTGCCTGCCTCACAGGCCCAAGGTCCCGAGTTCGATCCCTGGTACCAAAAAAAAGAGAAGAAGAAAAGTCTCAAATCAATAACTCCAGTGCTGAACTTAGTGAGGAAAAGAGTAAATTAAATCCAAAGCAGAGGAAAGGAAATTAAAGATTATAGCAGAAATCAAGAAAATAGGAAACAACAGAGAAATAAGTAAATCCCAAACTAGTTATTCAAGAAGAGCAGTAAAATCAATAAACTCTAGCCACACTGATCAGGAAAAAAAGAGAAGACATAAGTGGCATCACTACAGATTTAACAAACAGTAAAAGGCTAATAATAAGGGAATATCATCAACAACTGTGTACCAAAATTGTGGTCATTAAGATGAAATGAATAGATAACTTGAAAGATGGAAATAACCAGAGGTTATTAAAGAGGAAACAAGGCCGGGCGTGGTGGCACACGCCTGTAATCCCAGCACTAGGGAGGCTGAGGCAGAAGGATCACCAAAAGTTCGAGGCCAGCCTGGGCTCCATAGTGAGACCTTGTTTCCAAAAAATGCCAAGAAAAGAAAAGAAAAGAAACAGATCACCTAATTAGCCATGTAGCCATTTTAAAAATTAAAATTGCAATTAAATGCCATTCTATTTAAACAAACAAAGAAACACTCCAGCCTCACCAGGTTACACAGGAGAATTTTAAGGAAGAAATAATTCCAATTCTGCAAAAACTCTTCCAGAAATTTAAGAGAAGTGAATTCTTCCCAACTCATTCTGAGGCTAGATTTTCTCTGATTCTATTCACGCTTCCATGAAACCGAAAAACCTAGCGTCTTCTACTGGAGTCAACTCTAAGTATTTCTGCTTGTTAATAAACATTTCCTTGGGCCAGGGATTTAGCTCAGTGGTTCCACCACCTGCCTCGCAAGTGCAAGGTCCTGAGTTCGATCCCCGGTACCAAAAAAAAGTAAATAAATAAAAATAAATACTTCCTTTTAAAAAATAACTTGAATTCACTGATTTGTTAAATTTTTCAAGATAAAAATAAAATTTTTGGCAGTGGGGGGTACCAAATGAAGGGCCTTGCACATGTAGCCAGGACGGTACCACAGAGCCACATCTCCAGCCGTTCGAGTTTGTTTTTAATGGCAGATTCTAAGACAGCCAAACAGGAGCTTTCGTGTGAAGAGGAGAAATGGAGGCAGCTGTCGGCAGGTGGTCCCGGGAAGGAGTCTGCGGTTGGCTTTTGCCTGGAAGGGTTAGTGGGGCAGCCTCTGTGCCTGCAGCCGCCAGCAAGAGGCGTCTCCAGCCTGCGTCCTCTGCTTTTGCTGTGGTCTGAGACGAGATTTCCGATCGCTCTCTGTAAATCAGCTGGGGTTGAGTTAGCTCTTGCCCATGCTTTCCCGTGGACAGAGGAGGCGGAGATCTGGGGTGGCTGCTGGAATTTTGCGGCTGCGCGGTGGGAGGATGCAGGGGGACAGCAGAAGTGTCAGGCGCCACCATCAGGCGGGGCCCTGCTGTCGGTGACCACAGGCAGCAGTGGACACAGTCAGTCAGCTGGGGAAGCACCGGGAGAGGGAAGCGCGTGTTTTCTTTTCTGGGAGAGCTAATGTCACCTGCCTAGAAATAAGGGAGAGACCTGCTTACTAACTAGGGCTGAAGTCGGCCTTATATGCGCGTGTGGCATTTGCCAGGAGACACGTGTGTAGGGAGGTCGGCCTCTAGGGAGGTCTCCCTGAAGGTATTTTGATAAATGTCTGTATAAAAAGAAAGTGATCATAAAGTATTTCTGAAACAAGAGAACAGATAATTTGGGGTTATTTGAGCTTCTTCCTACGTCCGATTTATCTATCTTCTATTTCTCTCTATACACAGACTCTCATACAAGAGAAACAGTAACATAAATGCTAATTTGTTTCATTTATATTACTAGTTTCTTTTGTTCCTTGAAAAATGTGTCCTTTTATTTGTTTCTTCTTTGGGAGACTTTTTTTGTCTGTGACTTGTACTCAGTACCGTTTTGACCATTCTAAGATCACGTCATACAGTATATTAACCACTGTCATTCTCTAATTATTTTGTTATGAAATTTTGCTTTAATTTTTCATAAAAGGAATGGTTTTATATTTTCCTTAAATGTACTTGTATTAATTGAAATTAAAATGTTTTTAAGAAGAGTGATAATAATATGGAATGTAGCCTAGAGCCCCACGTGAAGACAGTGGAGGAGGGATTCTCAGGCCTTCGTCCAAAAGGTGAAGATGTCTTTTCCCCAGCCCTCTTCCCAGAGTGTACGGGAGGTGCTGTCCCCTCCACCCTCTCTTACTGCAAGGACCAGGGGTGTTGTAGCAGTTGAGGAATGGCGCACCATGATGTCCCTAAGGGTGAGAATGACCACTGATGTATGTCCTACACCAGGAAGAAATCCCTCCACAAGGGAAAGAAGTTCCCAAAAAGCCTGTGCTTATGACCCCCTGGGAAATTATCAGACCCTAGGCCACACCACAGTCCATACACACTTGTCTCTTCCCTTTGTCTCCCAGCCCAGCCTGAGCTTCTCCTTCAGTCCTGTGTCCCCTTCGGCTTTTCTTCTGCTCCAGCTGAAGTCCTTTCTCATTTTTCTTCCTTCTCAAAGCTTTCACTTGCAAATTCATACTGTTGCCTATTTTTATTCCCATTATCCCTGAAGCAAGGTCCCACTTGTGTTTTGTAGCAGGCTCCTTTCAGAACAGGAGAGACACAAGGAAAGCTACAGATTGAGGCAACACAGCAGAAAGAGGGAGAAAATAAAGATACAAGCGTATGAGGGGTTGGTCAGTGGAGGTCAAAGAAAAAACAGCATGTGCTCTGGGAGATGGCAGAAGGACATTAGTATGTGGTAGGGCAGCTCCTCCACTGAATACAGAGGAAACAAGAAACAGGGCGGGTGTAGACGAACGAACAGACTCCTCTATCTGGGTTCTGTCCAGTGTCCACAGGTCCCGTGGGGCCCCTCCTGGCCCAACTCCTTTCTGACTTATTTCCTCCCTGAAAATCTTAGACCAGTTGCCTAATGGCAGTGGCCCTGTGCCTGAGACCATTTGCTTCACAACAGCAACAAGCACCTCTAACTTGGCTAACCGTTCCAAACCCAGAGGTAGGATTCAAAACATTCACAGTAACATATTCACTGCTTTATGCTTGCTTGTATTTTCCTCCTCTGCACTTGCAGAAAAAGGACGAGACCAACTTGTGAAAAGCAGAGTCCAAGTTCAGAGAACCTCCTAGGTTGTTCCAGAGTTGAACTGTGGTGGAGGCTGTCTGTTTCTTGAGCCGTGGAGAGTCAGTACTGGTCATCTAAAGCGTCTGTATCAAGAGCGTTGGTCCAGGCGATCAGGTTGTCCACTTCTTTGTCCCACGGATCATATGTGTAATAGTCATATGTTGAATCCTCATCCTTCCTCTCCTCCTCTGTTTCATGGGTCTCTCTGACATGACCTATTTCTGGTTGTGACTCAGTAGGAAGTTCTTCTACTGTGAGAAACAGGAAAAACAGAAATGTAATGCACAATGAAAAGTTGTCCTGCATTTGTAGAATGATGCTGAGGATCATGTGTTATGGCTTGTATCTAGATGTCCCCCCAAAGCCTCATGCTGTCATATGTGGGGCTTTTTGGAGGTGGCTACATCTAGGGTGTGTGAATATGGATTAAGGCTGTGTAATTACTAAATTAGACCACTGACTGGTTTAGCATAGTTCTGGAAGTGGATAATGGAAGCCCCACTCTGAGTGTGAGTGGCACCAACCAATAGGCTTGTACCCTGAATGGAATAAAAGGGAAAGGGAGACTTTCTGTTTCCTGTCTGCCCTGCCATGGACTGTTTCTTCTCTGTGATGCCCCTCTGCCCTGCCATCCTGCCTTGGAGCCAGCCAGTTATGGATTGAAACCTCTACAAACTATGAGCTAAAATAAACCTTTCTTCCTTTCACTTGTGGGTGTTGGGTATTTTGTCTCAGCAACATGAAAGTAACTAAGACATTATATAATTGAAAGCAAGCAACCTTTTTATACTTTCTCAGCTTACAAATTATCCTTTCTTCTTGCTCCCTCTTTTTATCCTTTGTTAGTTCATTCATGGTATTTCTGGAGGAAATGGATGCTTCACAAGTACAAAAATAATCAGGGGGCATAACACATTTTTTATAAAGGTGCATAAACATGGGTGTGTCAAATCTATGTTTATTCTTTAAAATATTTCTTTGATGAATTATTAATTTTGATTTTATGAATTTTATATTAAACAATGAATGATTAGGAGGAAAAAAATCACAAAAATAAAGTATTCCATTTTTAATATTTATTGAGTGTTTATAAAAAAGCATCAAAAATTTCAACTGGTTTTTGGTGTACAAAGTCGAAAAAAGAACATCAGAAATAAAAACCTATGTGAGCTACAATGAAAATACCAATGGCAATCTACAAAAAAAAAAATCTTTCTTTTTTTTGGCACTGGAGATCGAACACGAGTCCTTGCGCTCGTGAGGCAGGTGGCTGAACCACTGAGCTAAATCCCCGGCCCAGTAATCTTCATTCCAAGTATCACACCTAAGGTAGTCTTCACACATGCCAACAGCACATCCCATAAACACACATTGCTTACACTGACAGCACATACATTTCTCTTTCCCGGCCATTTTGTAAGACATACTTGATATCTTCTTGGTCATGCTGTTTTGTCAGGAGGCCCTTATTAAATATACAATGTGTACTTAATAGGAACATAAAATATCAATAAAATAAAGCATTAAATTCTTAATATGTATTGTGCATTTAGAATAAATGTCAACATTTTCACATCAGCTGTCTACTTGCCTGCAAACCCTAAGGGATCAGAAATAAAAATTGACTTGAATTACAATAAAAATACCAATAGAACTCAAAGAAAAATAATCTTTGCCTCAGTTGTCCTTACACATGAAAATTGCATGTTCCGTACACAAGTATTGCTTACACCAATAGCATGTATGTTTTATTTTTCTGTCCTTTCTTGTAAGGCACAGTTGACATCTTTCTGGTTTTCCTGTTGTCGTAGTAGTAGATATTTGTGATGCCTTGCCTGCCTGTTCACCTGTCAGCTCGCCAGTGTGCTCCAAAATTTTTTTACATAGGTCCTGGGGCAGAAACATTTTGTTTTTCCTCTGCTGTAAATGATCTCTTATGAGTTCCAGTCCCAATCCTCTAAGAAACTTTCTCAGTGGTATTTTGTACTTGTTATTTTCTTTGTAGACTATCAAATTATTTATGCCACTCATGTTTAGGATTGAGTAAAACACAACCATTGGCCAATGCTTTGTGTTTCGATTAACATCATAGTTGCTGCATAACTCATCAACAACATCTACTTGGTCTTTGGTTTTGTTGTAAAAAGTTACCATCTCAGGCTTCAGTTTTGTTGAGGTTTTAGTACAGTTAGAAGCAAAAGAGCTGAGTCACTCTCTTCCCTTCACTCAAATGTAAATGCCACACCACCGTAATGATTATCCATGCTTCCATAATCCTAAAACAGGGAAGTCATGTGCGCTACCTCCCTTCTCTCCACTCAGTCAAAAACACATCACTCTAATGACTATTCATGCTCCCCTAACCCCAAGCCAGCCTCCCTTCTTTTCATTCAATCATAAACACAACACCACCCTAGTGATTTTTCAGGCCTAAGTTCAGGAAGTCACACCGATCGGATTGCTGACATCAGTAAAGAGAGACAGTGCACCATTCTGGCCCATCCAATTGTAACAGTTTCTCTACCAATTTTTCCATAATGGTGCAATGTTGACATCAGCAGCACCAGCTTGTTTTTCTTTGCCATGTATGAGGTCAGTGTTTTATCTTTCTGAAATCCAAAGATTGTACTCTACACTTCTCTGGTTTCAAATTGCAACCTTTCATTGGGAATTTCTGCTTTTTTCCTGTGTACAGTCCCTACACTGGTCAACTTGTGCTCTGTTAGCAAATGTAACATCAATCAGAAACTGGTAAACCAATAGTCAAATGTCACATTCTGATTAGTTTGGGAGATGGGAGCAACAAGTCTGTTCATAGCATCATTTGGTTTATTACTATACAAATAAGGACCTGGTGGCTGAGTTCCAGAATAAATTTCTAAATTGAGAGTATAATAAGTCTTTGGATCTACAAGGGCATAAATTTTTATACCATATTTTGAAGGGTTTTTGGAATGTACTCACTCATGCTGCAGTGGTCATGGAATACTGCAAGATGTTCATCAATAGTCATGTATTCAGATGGTGTGTAAATTGCTTGGCAACTACTCCCAAGTCTGTCAAACAATGACCAGATAGCAGCCAGTTTATCTGTTCTTTTTCTTTCTTGGTGGGGTGGTTTTGTCATCAAATCTCAGCAATTCTGAAGCAAAACACACTTCCTCAGGGTTACTGTAATTCTACAAACCTCAAGCCCACACCCATCCATTTTCCATAAGTCATTTACATTCCTTCAATTACCACTAGAAACCCCTGCTGAGTACAGCAGACCTATGAATGCTTTCAGTTCAGCTAGTGAAGTACCATAATAAATACATTTCTGAGTTTGGCTATTGTTGCATACAGAATTTTTTACTTGTTTTTCAGCCTTTGTGGATTGCAGAGGGCCATAATAGTGATTATGCCTAAAGCAAACTGTAAAAAGTGAACCCCACAATTGGCTTGTTTATAGGAGTGAGTCTGGCTGAAGCCTATGTGCTGAGGTTGGAGTAACTCGCACCCAAATTCTGTTCCCACAACTAAAACCTTCAGACTAGAAGGACAATGTTCTAATTACAATCATATATTTTGCCTATTCTGTTCCTAACTTGAGAATGCTTTGTCTTGTCCTTTCTAGCCTTGTTTACATTAATTTCCATAGAAACCACATGTTGCCTTTACCCCTAATTGATTGCCAATAAAAGTCGTGCCTGGGACGAGCCAGTGGGTTTGTCAGTTGCATTGACATTGGTCATCCTAGTACCCCGCTTTCTCTCTCCTAGTACTGTCTCTTAGTATATTTTTTTCTCAGGCCTATGTCACACACTGGGCAGGTGGGGACTAGAGACCTGATTGCAGGAGTCTCTGGTACGGAACTTCACAGCATCTTGTAGTATTTCGTCTGTTACAATTTCCAACATTAAATGGCAATGTCCAGTGGGTTTCACCTCTGTCCAACAGGATTCACCCCTGTCAAGGTCCACACTATATTTTTGGACCTAGTTCTAAATTGGATCATTCCATTTCATTCTGTGCCTACTTAGCAACATTTTGACTAGTCACATATGCACTCACATTGCTGTTTTCTTCATCATCTGAATCAAGGAGGTCTGCTTTCCCTGTGTCTGTATTAGCCAATTCTTGCTCCATTGCATGGTCACAGGAACTTTGGCTCACATGGCCAACATCAAAATCATCATCATCATCATCATCCACCCACACTTCTGTTATGAAAACATGTATTTTACCATAATGGATCATCTTCATAATCCATACACAAGTAATCTGATGATTCACTTTTGACCTCCAAAACTTGGAAATCTGTTTTTTCATGTCCCATTGTATTGAATTGGGCTACTTCCACCAGAAAAATCAAAGGAAAACTTTTTAAAAAACAAATCCTAGAGTGAGGTGGGTGTATTATATCTTGTATGATGCTCAGGTCAACATAGGCAAAACCTGTTAGGTGGGCATAATGTGAGGGACACCCTGGTTTGACACTTTTGCACAGGTGCGCACACAGGAGCACACACATCCTACCAAGTGGCTAAACACAAAGATTGCGTCCTGTATCCCTCAGGGAAAGGTACTGAGAAGCATAGGTGGCTACTATTATGCTAAAGTAAAAACTTACAGTAGAAATATAAGGGTTGGGTTTTGAAACCCAGTGTTGTGCTTGTTGTGATAATGGTGGGGACTTGTTATATGTTAGGAAAACAAACGATGAAGAAACATTCTCAGTGCCTTGTATTTGTATGCCCTCTTGGTATGGATCTTGGAAAGTCCATGTCTGATCACTCATTTTTTAAAATCTTGAAACAATTTAATTTGCAAAGGTACTAAAATATGTGCTGATTGGTAACATATGACTAGTGTCATTACCCCGTGGTTTATTTCTACTATCAGCAGGAAGCAAAGCCAGCAAAAGTAATCCAAGGTGGAGGTTAGCAAAGGAATTGGGGGGTCCAGGTGTAGGAGAAGCAGGGAGGGAAGATTTGGAAGGCTCAGGTGGAGAATCTGGAAGAATATCACAACCGCTTTGTGCCAGGCATCTTGGGAAAGCAGGAAACCAGGAAGTCCAAGCCACGCCCTACACAGAGTGACATAGGAGGGACAGCAATGTTGAGTTCATGGAGACCTCAGTGAAGCTGCCATGTTTGCGATGAGGGACTTTGTGAAGAGATAAGGGAAAGGACTATGTCCGAGAAGCCACCACACCTGCTACGCACAGTCCCCAAGCCTCTTCCTCCCTCCTCCTCCCAAATCTCAGGTATGCTCTTCTCATCGGCGAAGCATGACCTGCTCAGCCTTTCTGCCAAAGTGGTCATTTCTTTCCTACCCATCACACTGTCCTTCGATATCCTGCTCACACTCACTGTTCCTAGGTAACATCAAGCACAAAGTCTTTGTGACCTGCAGGAAGTGCTGGTCTTGGTCACAAGCCTGCAGGGTTGCTGGGTCAGCTTATGTGCTGGGTGGCCAATACGAGGGACAGCTCTCTCCTCCCTTCTGTCCCCCACTATGGTCAGGGGGCTGGCTCTGGCATGTTTTGGCCATGGCAGGTGTGAAAAAGAGCAAGACAAGTCCTGAAGACCTTCCAAGCCCTGGGCTCACACACTGCAAATATTCCCTACATGGAAACAAGCATGCAGGCCAAGCTTGAACTTGGGCATTTCTCAGATTACAAGGGTCTGTTACACATGGGTAATCTACTCACAAGGTGCTGTGAGACAGTGCAGGACATCATTCAAGAACCAAGGACTTGCTGAGGTCCAAGGACCCGGAGCTTAGGTGGTGCCTTCCATCATCACACAATGCTGCATCCACACCCCACCTCTCAGATCCCAAATGTCACCCTTCCATCACCAGCCCTCTGGATCCACCCATGGCTGGTCTTCCACCTACCCCAGAACTCACACTTCTTTGAGAAACATTAATTTTTAGAAGCATAAAAATAAAACTAACACCAACCCTTTCTATCCAACTATGTTACCCATATTTCTGAATCTGCAATGAACACTTTGTTTGGGGACTTAGCCTTGAATTTTCAAATTGTGTATTAGCCAATTAAGGGTAGTAAGCTTGAAATATAAGTAATTCAATCTTTTAAAGCTTCTATTCCTATGTAAATGATTTAGTGAATTTATTTTGTTACAAAGAATTGAAGCAAATTTAAAAGGAGAACACAAAACTTGGGCCTTTTCTTAGTTCCTTCTCTCATTATGGAGACAAAATATCCGGCACCCAAAGTTAAAGGAGAAAAGGTTTATTTAGTTCACAGGTTGTAGAGGTTTCAGTCCATAGTTGGCTGGCTCCAAGGCAGGGTGGCATGGCAGAGAGGCATCAAAGAGGAGAAACAGTCCAAGGTAGTGCAGACAGGAGGCAGGAAGTAGGAAGCAGAAAGCCTCCCTTTCCCTTTTATCCCATGCAGGCTACAAACCTATTAGTTGGCACCACTCACATCCAGGGTGGGTTTTCCCATTGTCCACACCCAGACCAATGCTAAACCAATCAGTGGACTAATCCAGTTATCACACATCCTTAATCCACATTTACATACCTTGAGCTAGCTACCTCCAAAAAGCTCCACCTATGAGTGCATGAGGCTTTAGGGGACACCTAGATACAAGCCATAACAGCCCTTATATATATTTGAGCTGAACAAACATTTAAATTTGTTATTATGAATTATTTTTTCAGTTCTGAAAAAAGCAAATAAACTGAATCCGATTTACCTGGAGTCGAGCAGAGGTGGGTCATCTCCCCTGAAAAGCTGACACTGCTTGGCACTTGGCTTTCTGGGGCATGCCGAGACCTGGCAATGGCAAACCTGCAAAGAGAAAAGGAATTCATCCCAAGTCCCATGTGCATTTTGGAAAGTGTGCATTCACTTTGAAGAAAAGAAACCAAACAAATGAATAAAACTGGACAGAATAGGCTCCGACCACAGTGTCATTCTGAGTGCTAACTAATAGGAAAGTGAAATTATCTCAGTATGTGCTTTCTAAAAGAGCAGATCTGCAGATGGGAAGCAGACCGTGAGATGGAGGGAGAGGCTGGGGAGGGGTAGAAGGGGCAGTAAAAGAATTGAGACGGGTGTTACGTCCAGGTACCAACTCTCCAGAACAAATGTAAGCATTATGTAGTGCAAATGTGGACTAGTAAACATTTAAAAATTTAAAAAGAATAGTAATTAGAAAAGCAAACAAATATGATGCAAGACTAATATTGTAAAAGCAATAAAAATACCTTGTGGCATAAACTCAGTGACTATTCCAGGAGCTAAGGAGACAGGAAGAACAAGACAGGCAAAGAGTGGAGGGTGGAAAGCCCATGGAAGGAGACAGGAATGAACAAAGTCAAGATCCATGGGCAGTGGCATGTGCTGTCCAAAACACAAAGTCCTTTCTGTGTTCCTGAGGTTAGGGGAAAACTTTCAGTTTTTCACCATTATGAATAGTGTTGACTCTAAGGTTTTCTGTTCTTTCTTTTTTTCCTTTTTTTTTTTCTGAGGCAGGGTCTCCCTGTGTAGCCCAGGCTGGCTTCAAACCCATGGTGATCCTCCTGCCTCAGCCCCCGAGTACTGGGATTAAGGTGTATGCCACCACACCTGGCATAGATGTGGTTCTTTAGGTTGAGGAAATTCTTCCTTGTTCCAAGGTTTGTTTTGTTTTGTTTTGTTTAACTAGGAAGAGGTCTTGAACTTCTCTTCACCGACTGAGAGGACCATATAATTCTTCTTTACTTATTTTACGTTGTTTGACTTTTTTGGAAATTAAACCAAGGTTGCCTTCCTGATATAAACCCAACTTGGTCATGAGGAATTAAGTCATTTAAAAATAATGTTAACAAATCAATGTTTAAAATAATATATTACAGTTAGACTGGATTTGCTAATATATGGATCTCCAGTTTTCTCCCTAAGGACTTTCTGGGTTTTGTTGTAGAAGTGATTCTGACCTTACACTAGGGATGGGGAATCCTTGTTCCTTTCTATTCTAGGTTCTGTATGATTTCTGAGTGCATTTGAATTATATTTTCTATAAATGTGTGGAAAAATTCCCCAGTGAGGCTATCTGGGGCTGATGTTGTATTTTTTGGGGTTTTTTGTCTTACAAAAAAATAAAAACAAATTTTATAATCAAATAATAAGAGAATAATAATAGTTATTACACTGCATATCATTATCTTCAAAGTAGTTACTTAATACAAGGCATAAACCAAAAAGATTCTTACAAAAGAGAAACAGATAATAACAAGCTTTCTTTTCAATGAACTAAAATAAACTATTGAAATATTTTGAATACAGTGAAATATGGGGAAGGTGTTCTCCTTCTGTACGGGGGGTTAAGCTATGAATTTGATTTATTAGATATAAGATGATCGATGCTCTTCTTTCTATTTTTTCGGTGCTGGGTGAAGCCAGGGTCTGCCGTATGCTAGACAAGTGCCAGCCCATTGAGCTACAGCTCAGCCCTTAGATACTTCTTTTAATTGAGTCTTAGCAGATGTCTTTCAAGGAGTTAGTTCATTTTGTCTATGTGGTTGGATTTGTTAGTCTGAAAACACTATTTACCTTTCTTGGTGTAGAACACTGGGGTCGACAGTTTGGCATCTAAAGCCGCCGTTCATTGTATTTGGGCTGCAAGACTTCCAGCAGGACATTATGGGATACTGTCCTCTCCACTCGTCTGTATATAATCCATGGGGTTCTAAAAGCTTCACTTTAAAATTGTTCTCTTTACTTCTGAGTTTCAGCAATTTGATTATGATGAACTTTGGTGTGGTTTCTTTATATTTCTGTTTTGTGGGATTCATTGAGCTGGGCCTGTGAATTTTTAGCTTTCATCAAATGCGGACATTTTTCCATCACAATTATTTCTTCAAATGTTTTTCTGTACCTCTTCTGAGACATGAGTTATGTGTAGCTTATGCCCCTTGATGTTATCCCTCAGTTTCACTTTTTCGCTCTATTCCTTTTTTTTGGTACCGGGGATGGAACTCGGGTCGTTGAGCTTGCTAGGCAGGCAGCGAAACCCCTGAGCTAAATCCCCGGCCCTCTATTCTTATTTTTAAGAATCCTTATTGCGACACTTTCAAGTTCACTGGCCACTTCTGCAGTGTCTAATGTTCTCTTCACAGAGTAAATAGTTTTAATATTTTATTTTTACCTGTAGATGTTCCCTAGACTTTTGCATATCCTATTCCTTCATCACACTCATGATTTTCTTTAGCTACCTGGATAATTTTGTAAGATGTACAAGGTATGATTAAAAAATATGGTGAGTGTTTAAAATTTTAAAATTTGCTTCAGTAAAAGACAAGGTGCCATTAATCCTTCTGGAAATACCCCCCTTGTTTTGAACACACTTATTTCATTGTTCTTGCCAATGTACTTTTTACTGTAGCAAGGTTTTTTTAAATGTAAACATCTACTATCTCTTTCGACCAAACATCCACTGTCTCTTTCGACTGTCCCATGTGTGACAGCTGTCCTAAGGCCCATTGCTATAACTCTGTCATTGCCATCATTTATGGATCTGTTTATGACTGCAGATATTTTCTTCTGGTCTTAGGTCAGCTTTTCTTGCTTATTTGTATGACTGGTGATTTTTTTTTTTTTTTGGTACCAGGGATTGAACTCAGGTCCTTCCGCTTGCAAGGCAGGTGGCGGAGCCACTGAGCTAAATCCCTGGCATGACTGGTGATTTTTGATAGGAGACTTGGAGTTGTGAATTTTATGGTGCCACGTGATGGATTTTGTTATATTCCTGTGAGTACAGTTGTTTGTGATTCAGCACCTGTGGCGTCAGTCTGAAAGTGCCATGGCTCTGCGGGGCCGACCTGGCCCTTTGAAGGTGGCTCACTCGGGCCTCTGCCCTGGCCAGTAGGAACAACGCCCAGCACTGTGGTGGCCTGGAGTTCAAGAAAATCATCAGGACCTTGTTTTCCACAGGGCAAAGACGACTTTAGAAAACTTAATTTATATCCTTTCTCCCTCTGTCTTCAAAAGCGATATGTCTTGTTATTTCCTTTTTTATTCAACCATTTGCCTTCCCATAGTGGAAAACACAAAATCCAAACACAGAAATGTTTACTGTCCCTACAGAAATATGAAATAAAAATGTCATCATTGAGGCAAAGGGCAAAGTGAAAAATGTTAAGCTTGCCCACTTTGAAGTTCTGATGTCATTTCAGGGGTAGTGTAAATTGCAACATGTTCTGGAAGGGTAGCTTTAACTGGGTAGCAAGTCATGAAATATCCTGTCCCTTCCGCTAGAAAGCTGGCTTTTGGTGATGTGTCCCCGGGCCTCCTGGGCTTCCTTCCCGCACAGTGCCACCTAATAAGGCTCCTTGGGAACCCACCACCCCTCCCCTGCCCAGTACTGGGAACTGAACCCTTTGCACTGAGCCACATCCACAGCCCCTTTTAAAATTTTTAAATTTTGGACCAGGGATTTAGCTCAGTGGTTTCACTGCCTGCTGCTCAAGCGCAAGGACCTGAGTTCAATCCCTGGTACCAAAAAGAAAAAAAAATTTTTTTAATTTCAAGACAAGGTTTCATTAAGTTGCTAAGTGGCCAGGCTGGGCTCAAGCTTAATATCCTCCTGCCTCAGCCTCCCAGAGAGAGTCCTGGGATTATAGGTATGCACCACTGGGCCCTGACTCATATCATATGTATTTTTGACTTTTATCAAAACTTCTCTTTTTCAAGAGCAAAGGAAAAGGGAAACAATCTTTAGCTACGGTGTTACAAGTTTCCATACAGTTCCGTGTGACAGCCAGAAACCCCTGGTAGAGTTCCAGGGCTGCATTGTGGGAGGAAACTGGGATGAGTGATATCCAGAGGAAGGGGCAAAAAAGATATAAAGGATTCACCTCTAGAAGGTGAAGGAATCGGATTTGTTTATTCCACCAAATAAGAAAATAAGTGTGAGAAAGACGTGCTGGAGATTTTCTGAGACTGAAAGGATGACCCATAAACTGGAAATGGCCTTGCCTGTGTCATCTCCATGACAATGTCCTCCTGTCCCCAAGCCAGCCTGGACCTCAGCACTGATGGCTGGAGCGAGGCTCTGTCATGTCGGGGAGCCTGGGCTGGGCTCCAGCTTTGTCACCAAGGGTGACCCATGGATCTCATGCTTAGCTTTTGTTATTATTGTTGTTTTGAGACAGGGTTTTGCTTTGTATTGAGGCTGGCTAACCCTAACTCACTATGTAGCCCTGGCTGGGCTCTCCAACTTTCCAAATCACCTCCACCTCTCGGTGATCCTCCTGCCTCTGCCTCCCAAGTGCTGGGATCACAGGTGTGTGCCACCACACCTGGCTTCATGTTTAGTTTTTAACCCTTAGGTCACCTTTGTTATAAAGTGGAAATGATTTCTCATGTTCCTGGTGGGAAGTGGGGATGGCTGACTGACACATAGTATCAAGTTTAAACCAGTGAGGAGATTTGGAGGTGTCTGAAGGGTTGGTACTGAGCTTCCTGTCCCTAAAAACATCCAAGCATGGACAAATTAATGCCTCGGCAGAAATTATTTCTTAAAGGGATTTTTCTCATCTTTGTCAATATTTTTTCCCGTGTCTGTATTTTAAAGTATGTACCCATTCCAGGCTCCTAGGGCAGAGAAGGTAAACCAATCCCAGCACCCAGGAGGAGGCTCCCCCACCACCATTCCATGCTCCTAGGGCAGAGGAGGTGAGCCAATCGGA